TTGTGTTCCCGAAACTCAGAGTTTCAGGTCACAACACTGCAGGAAGCCCTTGCCAGAATACTAGTATTGATGGTATTCTTCGTTGGAATTATTATGGAGGAGTAGGTAATCCTTCCGATAAAGATTTCTTCCATGAAGAGCAATCATGGACCAGAAATTTTGGAAAAAAGAAAGATACAGATAATAATAGCGAAGCTAGCACGGCTAAAAAAATCAAAAACCGGGAATGTGTCGAAATTAAAATCTCTTCAGAAAAAGAATTCAAATCCAGTTTCCTTAAATTTTCGGGTTGTGTTCCAATTGACGTGATAGTATGTTATAAAAAACTCCATCCCCAATCTGAGAAAAATTCACTTGACTATTACTTAAAAAAATATGATCTCGGTAGTAAAATAGATATGCCGATAAAAGATATGAGAATTTATTATGAGAAAAGCAAGAAAATTACCACAACTGAAACCAGTAAAAATATACATAAGATTGCAAAGTATTGTATTGTTGACTCTATATCTTGTCAAAAACTCATGATTACTCGTAATGTAGTAAATGATTACAGAGAAGTGGCCTCTATAGCTTATGTATCTTTATTTGATTCACACTATTACGCTGGAGGTATGAAGGTATATAATCTCTTAGGTGCTGAAGTGTGGAAGAGAGATATATTAATTACTATGATTGCTTCTAAACAAACGGAATCTGGAAAATTTCCTGGAGCTTATGTATTTCCTCCAGAAAAAGGTCTGGAAAATAAATACCCAGTTACGGGTTTGGGTTTTGCTTCTTTATACCCAAGTATTATTATGAATTATAACCTCTCACCGGATAAAATGATTTCAACATCCGAAGAAGCCGATACACTAAAGGAAGAAAAAGAATCTCTTCATGAAATCGAATTTCATTTCAATGACCGAATTTTACGTGCCTGGTCTATAAGACATGAAAATAAAACAGATAAAAAAGGATTATATCCAGAAGTTTTAGAGGATCTTCTTAATAAACGAAATAAGATGAAGGTTCAATTAGAA